CCACAAAAAACTAATATAAACCACCCTTATCACTCGAAGGGAGGAAGAAACAACAAAAGGGAAGAAAATAAAATAAAATAAACATACCTTCCCTCCGGCTCAACATATCTTTCCCAATAACTTTACATCCCCATATCGTACCCATTAAATTCGTTTGAAGGATATTTTCAATTAGAGAGGGAGAAGTGGTTATGAGTGGGGAGGCATGCGTTAGACCTGCTGCGTTGATGAGGATGTCGATTTTGGGCTTGGGCTGCTGGGTTAGGGGTGGGGTGTTAGTAGTGGGATATTTTTAGGTGTGGTGGGGGTGGGGGGGAGGGAATGGTGGATTTTAGAGGGATGAGGAAAGGATGATGAGGGGAGTGGGAAGGTTTGGGAGGGAGGAGGGTTGGGGATGAATGTGTGATTAGAGGGGTATGTGGAAATTTAGATAGGAATTGAATTAGGAAAAGGGATTTGCGGGGAGAGATGTCAGAGTATGAAAGATCCAACTCTAAATGCACCCAGATATAGATGAGGAAAATTGGGGACTACCCCTTGATCTCCCCTTCACCTCTCCTACTCTGTTCTTTTTCCTTATTCCCTTTCTCTTCCCTCTTTCCCTCCTTTCCACTCAACTCAACTCAACTCAATTCAACGCAACTTCAATCTCACTCCGTATTTCCCCAATCCAAAAATCACAGCCACAAACAAAGCCAAAGAAAAATATAATAAAGCAGAGAAAAGAAACAACTCACTCCATCCGCCCTCTTCCCCCTCCCAAACTCCTCTTCCCAAAATTCCCTCTTCCCCACATCTCCACAAATAATATCAAAACCAACCTCCCCTCTATCCTCCTCACTAAACCCCTCCTCACCAACCCCCTCCCCAGCAATCTCAAAATCACCCCTCTCCCTAGCCCCCCTCTCCCTCTCCTCCCTCACCTCCCCAATCTCCACCCCCAACCTCTCCAACTCCCTCCCTATTCCTCCCCACCAAAACCAATCTCCCCCCCTCCCACGCAAACCTCAACGCAATAGCCCTTCCAATCCCCCTCGAAGCACCCGTTACAAGAATCGTTTTATTCGCCAACACCGATGGTTTTATCGTCGGCGCATTAGTAATTTTCGAGAAAACTGATGACGATCCAGGTGCAGATGCAGATGCAGAATCAGAGAGGAGGGAAGATCGTGTAGAGAAACCTCTGGATCGCAAGAAGGTACACCCGGAATTTGCAGATCTCATACCCGTACTCAAAACCGCATGATTTCCACCTCGAAAATTACACGTGAGGTGATTTTTCGTTTGTCTTCTGAGAGATATCCTCATTCCTGGATTTATCCCCATACCGACTCTCGTACTCGTACCCATACTTAATATGCCTCCCTCAAAAACGAATCAAATCAAATCCTGAATCGCCACCTTCTCCACTTCAAGATTCCCCTCCAAATTCCAAACCCCAGTCGTATTCCAAACCCCAATCGTATTCCTAATCCTAATCCTACTCTCAAATTTCGGCTTAGCTTTCGACTCAAGTCCCATTCTCTTTCTCTCTTCAAACTATAGCTAGTTGTTGTCGATTCAACAGAGTCGCCGAATAATTCGAAGCATGCATCTATATGGAATTAATGATGCGTACATGTCACGTGTCTGATTCGAATGGTTAAATTAGCTGCGCTTTGTTGTTGTTGGAGATTATATAAGCAGACTGCTTTGTGTGCTTGTAGTCATGTCGTTTCTAGATCAATTCAATAGTAAATAGTATACTCGAGTAATAAGCATGTTATTAGTTAGGATTTCTATCTACAATGTGCAGCCAGAATTCATTCGGTGTACAGCGACATTTCGAATTCGCATCACATAATCACAATCACGAATTCACAAATCAATAAAAACATCATCTTCAAAACAATGGTCACAATTACGAGTTTCTATTTGTTAATTTCTTAAGCAAGCTTTGTACGCCATTGTGCAACCTTGGTTTGGAATAACCAAACAAAAATGCCCTCGAAGAAAAATGTCAAAAATGTTCATATCTCATCTCTTCTCATTTAACCACTGAACTCCTTAACCTTACTCTCGGCAAGACGTCCTGGAACAAGAGCCAAAGGAACGATACCACTGACATGCATATCTGGTCCGTAAACATGCATATCGAGTTTCAACTCTTGACCAACTGCCTTGATGTTCTTTAATCCTTCTTGGTAGTTAGGTCCAGCACGTCTAACCCAGATTTGAACCTTGTGCTCAATCAATAAGCTGCTAAATTCTCTCAAGGCACGAATGACACCCTTGAATGTAGAAGCGACATTGGTAAAGTTGGCAATACCACCACCGATGAAAAGAACCTTGCCTTCCGAAGTAATTGGTGCACGGAGCATGAGGTCAAGGACAGTACGAGCGTAGTGGTAAGTTTGGGTTTCTGTTGGTGCACCAGAGTATTCACCATAGTTGGCAAGCTCATCAGCAAATCCAGAACTGGCAATAGCATCAGCATAAACGACGGAAGCACCACCACCAGCAACCAAGGTCCAGACTCTGCCGTTGGCGTTCAAAACTGTAAGCTTTAGAGATGCACCAGTCTTTGCGTCAAGTTCCGCGATGTATGCTTCTTCCTTGCTCAACTCGCGACCGAATGGAGCTGGGAACTCCATTGGTGGACCAGCATCAATGTTAACCTTTCCGTCAACTGCTTTAGCTGGAGTCATACCAAGAGCGGCAGGTGAGCGTGCGACGGCCCATTTTACACCACACTCGAACTCGGCAGTTTGATCGAGCTTAGCGGCCAAATCCAAGAAGTGAACCTCAGCAGAGGTACCTTCAGCATTAGGAATGACAACCAACGGGTTGATCTCAAGGTATGTGAATTGGCAGTCAACGTAGACAGCGTATAACCTGGTGATGAAGTCGACGAGAACGTTGTGTACACCTTGTGGAACCTTTTTGAGAAGACCTGCAGAGATTTCTTCGTTTGAAGGGTATTCAGCGAGATCGACTGGGATCAACAATTTTTCGGCCTTTGCATCGACATCACCAACATCGACACCTCCCTCGTGTGTGAAAAGAATCCAATCACCCTGATAGAGAATATTGTTAGCACGTGGACATATAGTTTATGAGTAGATATAATGCTATGAAAATTGTGCTGAGCGTAAAGAGCATAAAATGGCATAGACAGCGTGTCTAGTATCTTTTCCCAATACATCTGCCGGACTTAAGCTCGCTTGCTTTAAGATTTGATAAGGAGAGCTGTGGACAGGGGGAGGTTGGAATCGGTTCCTTAGCTTCCTTTCGTCCGTTTGTGCTTCCGAGCCTGGGTAGTAAGAAGCAACAAAAGCCCATGCAACCCACTCCAAATGTTGAAACTTTTCATAAATTCAAATTCTTTATTTTCGACATTCACTTTAATGTCACCTTTATTTTTTGGGGTTGCTAAAACATTCGAGGTAGTCTCGAAATTCATTCCCAGGAAGTAACCTCTTCTGAAAATGAATTTTTGAAAATGTGAACCTAGTACATACCTCTCTTTGGGAGTTGATGTTGATATAATATTCAGTTCCCTCTGGATGTGGCACAAATGGTTCTACCAAAAATTGACGGAGGGTTCCAACGGTAGTCTCAACTGTGACTGGCTTTGCTGCTCTCTCAGCAATCCATGCCTTTGCTTCCGGCCAGGTCTTGTTCAAAGCAAGAAGACCACTCTTGCCTCGTCTCTTGATCAATTGATCGGGCTTTGCGACGAACTTGGACCCTGGAACAAGGAGCCATGGGTATAGGATTTCTGCTTGATCGAGAACTGTCGAGACCTCAGCATCCGCTGGGAAATATAAGGAAGCGAGTTTCGAAGGTGGGTTGTGAGTGGCAGATTTTGGGAGAGGAGATGGCTTGATGACGGGAGCTCTTGTGAGGTGGTAGTTGAGGATTGCCTTTCCATCGGCCTCGGTGATTGCTTTGGCAGACATTTTGAAGTATGAAAATTGGTAAGTTTACTGTTGGAATTCCGAATTAGCCCAAAACGTCCTTAGAATCCTAATGGCTTGAATTTGATAGAAAGTTTTAAAGTTTCCGCAAGCTGCCTAATAATGTTTAACAGCCCTCGCCGAATGTAGGTTCCGGATTCCCCAAGAAACCGAGAATACCCCACCGCAATTGAAAGGACAATCAAAAGTCTCAACTCCCAGCAGATTATGCCAACTCACAACACTTCCGCAACGGTATAGATTCAAAGCTTTGAATGAATGAAGCGGGTGAGAGGTTTGTTTCAACAGCTTTGTCCCTCGATATAGGCAACAAAACAGAACTTGCGATACGAGGCAACACGAAAGTAAATATGACGGGGGGAAGAAAGAATAAACGTACCAAAGGGTATTCTTTCACGGGAACTCAAAGACGGTCAAATGAATAGACCAAAAAGATTTCAATTCTTGTGAAAAGGAATGGAAATAATATCGAAAGATGGAATCTATATTCTATCTCTCTATTCTTTCTCTTCTCTTTTTTGCGGGGGTCAGGAATATGGAAAAGGAATCGGACTTTCTAATCTTTTTGAGAAGGGAAACAGAAATTAATGAGATGAGATGAGGGGGAAAAAGGGCAAGCTGAATGAGGAATCAATTGTGTAAGAGCAGCGAGTACGGAGGCCGACCACTTTACTTTTTATTTGAACCTTTTTGCTGTCGTACGAGTGCTGGCTGATTCCTAGTCTGGAATAAGTTGTGGGTGGGATTATTAGTTGATGGTGGAGGTTCCGAACGAAGTCCCTTGAATGGATGCGGGTCCCCTTTCTCGAAATGATCCTTCTGCCTTTATGAGCGTGTTGACGAACTAGAGGTTTTGGAAGCTCCCCTGCAATGTACCTACTAGGCTACTTGAAGACTAGCTGGTCGACGACCAGGTATGCAGAGTTCAGATGGGTTGCAATGGTATGAGCCACTATCAAAACTCGAAATTATGGAAATTATGGGAACTACGAAACTAAGGAACTAAATTTTTTTGGTGGTCGTTGGGACGCTACTAGCAATAGAGAGGTCGATTATTATTGGCTCTCAACCATCGGCATTACCTCAACGCCGACATATTTTATCAAAGGGAAAAGGAACTAAGAAGGGTTAGGAAGGCTTAGGAAGGGCTAGGAAGGACTAGGAAAGGAATAGGAAGGGGAAGAAATCAGAAACCCAAGGATTCCTCACAGAGTTAAAGCCCTCGACAAAAATTCATTGCCATTTTTACTTACCTACCTGGTTACGCATATCACCGCATATCAATCAATCAATCAACCATCACTCCGGTCCGAGCTCAATATTTCCCACCCCTCTCTTCAGCTACCAGGCCCAAGTACCTAGTAACTCCAGCCCAATCCTCACTCCAAATATCGGCCCTCAATTATCAAAGAAAGAGAACGAAAAGGATCTGAATTCTTCGAAAAGACCGACTGACTTGTGTGTCAATTATTCTATTCAAAGACCCCCTTCTTTCTTCTTGTTTTGTTACCTCCATACAAATTCTAAATACCCTCAATCAAACATCAAAGTACTTCTCCCAAAAGTATTTTGTTGTTCTGTCTTTTTTAAACACTTCATTCTACTTCTCATTTACATCTAGAGTAACGGAATAAAAAGGTTTCTTACGTTTTTGTTTACGTTACGGATTCCCCATCCCTCTTTTATTCTCTTAAAACTCCTCCACACCGTCGAAGAATAGAATTCCTTGAAATCTTTACCCAGGTAAGCTCAAATTGGACCCTTTCGATCCTCTTTTCTTCAGTTTCGTCTACTCGTCCTCCCTCCGTATACGGACTTCCCCAAGCTTCAAGCTTTTTTATTCTCTCCTCCGTTCAGCCCACCACACCACTACCATTATTTCCTTTTTGGGTTGCATAGAACTTTTCTTCAATTGACTAACAATTTCCCTGTTCGCACTTTCAGATTTTTGATCACTTCCTCCTCTCACGATGCCTTCTGCTACAGAATCCGGTGCAGGCAATGCCAACGACAACATTCGCAGATTTACTGCTCCCTCCAGACCTTTGAGCCCAAGAGCTGAACATACCCTTTTCCACGACAAGACAAGATGTTTTGTCTACGGCCTGCAACCAAGAGCCGTTCAAGGCATGCTCGATTTTGACTTCATCTGCAAGAGAAAGACTCCTTCGGTTGCAGGTATTATTTACACATTCGGTGGTCAATTCGTTAGCAAGATGTACTGGGGAACCAGCGAAACTTTGCTTCCAGTTTACCAAGATGTTGGAAAGGCCATGGCGAAGCACGAGGATGTCGATACCGTTGTTAACTTTGCTTCATCGCGAAGTGTCTACCAATCCACTATGGAACTTTTGGAATACCCACAAATTAAGTCAATTGCCATCATTGCTGAGGGTGTACCTGAAAGAGTGAGTTTTTTGCTTCAAATCAATTTGATCGTATGCTCATAAATAAATTAGCGTGCTCGTGAAATTCTTCATGCAGCAGCCAAGAAGGGTGTTACAATTATTGGTCCAGCTACCGTCGGCGGAATCAAGCCAGGATCCTTCAAGATTGGTAACACTGGTGGTATGATGGACAACATTGTTGCATCCAAGCTTTACCGCAAGGGTTCCGTTGGTTACGTCTCCAAATCTGGTGGTATGTCCAACGAGCTCAACAACATTATCGCCAACACAACCGATGGTGTTTACGAGGGTGTTGCCATTGGTGGTGACAGATACCCAAGCACAACCTTTATCGACCATCTCCTCAGATATCAAGCCGATCCAGAATGTAAGATTTTGGTCCTGTTAGGAGAAGTTGGTGGTGTTGAGGAATACAGAGTTATTGAGGCCGTTAAGAACGGAACCATCACAAAGCCAATTGTCGCATGGGCAATTGGTACTTGCGCAAGCATGTTCAAGACTGAGGTCCAATTCGGACACGCTGGTTCATTTGCGAACTCACAGCTCGAGACTGCAGCTACTAAGAACAAGTCCATGAAGGAAGCTGGTTTCCACGTCCCAGATACCTTCGAAGATATGCCAGCAGTACTCGCCTCCGTGTACGAAAAACTTGTTGCAGATGGAACCATCGTACCACAACCTGAGCCAATCGTACCAAAGATCCCAATTGATTACTCATGGGCTCAAGAACTTGGTCTTATCCGAAAGCCTGCTGCTTTCATCTCCACCATTTCCGATGATCGTGGACAGGAACTTTTGTATGCTGGCATGCCAATCTCTGATGTCTTCAAGGAGGATATCGGAATTGGTGGAGTCATGTCTCTTTTGTGGTTCCGTCGTCGTCTTCCAGATTATGCAAGCAAGTTCCTCGAGATGGTCCTCATGCTTACTGCCGATCACGGTCCAGCTGTTTCTGGCGCCATGAACACTATCATTACCACCAGAGCCGGAAAGGATCTTATCTCTGCTCTCGTTTCCGGTCTCTTGACCATTGGATCCAGATTCGGTGGTGCTCTTGACGGTGCCGCTGAGGAGTTCACCAAGGCATTTGACAAGGGTCTCTCCCCACGTGATTTCGTCGACACCATGAGAAAGCAAAACAAGCTTATCCCAGGTATTGGACACAAGGTCAAGTCAAGAAACAACCCAGATCTTCGTGTCGAGCTCGTAAAGGAGTTCGTCAAGAAGCGTTTCCCAAGCTGCAAGATGCTCGACTACGCTTTGGCTGTCGAATCCGTCACCACCTCCAAGAAAGACAACTTGATCTTGAACGTTGATGGTGCCGTTGCCGTCTGTTTCGTTGATTTGATGCGCAATTGCGGTGCATTTAGTGCAGAGGAGGCTGAAGATTACATGAAGATGGGTGTATTGAACGGTCTCTTCGTTCTCGGACGTTCCATTGGTTTGATTGCTCATTACCTTGATCAAAAGAGACTGCGCACTGGTCTCTACAGACATCCTTGGGATGATATTACCTACCTTTTGCCATCTTTGTCTTCGGGAGCTCCGGGCACTGAGGGTCGTGTTGAGGTGCAGATGTAAGGAGCGTCTAGTTGAAGATGGTTTTGTAAACGCAAATGCGAGGGGTGGAAGTTATAGAGCATGCTTCTACTTGTTACAGGGATTTTTTTTCTGATCCAATATGCTGGATGGAGTTTTTAAGATCAATCATGTAGTAGATGAAGAATTGCTATAGAGCAAGATTTTTTAATGGAAATGAAATCAAAATTATGAATCAATGAAGCGTTTTTGAATTTTGCGAGATTGTGATGGTTTTATTGTAGCTAGATTGAAAGCTCTCTTTATGACATGCAATTTACTTCAAGTTGTAGCCAAATAGAAGTAGGATATCTGCTATCCTATCCACATTCACCATCTATCCACAGCTGGAAATTCCTTTCCATATATGGTACCAGATCTTCTATCAATCAGTATGAAAAGCCGTAAAATAAGTAAACCTAGGCGCTTAGCCCTATTCCGTCATCCCGTTATATCGCGTAACCCTGACAGATTGTGTCATATTGTATCATATCATATCGTATACCCATTTTAATCATTCTTCTTCCCTTTTTAAGGCGAGGGGACTGTTTTGTTCTCTTTCGATCGTTTGCAATCTGCTCTTTTGATCATGCACACTGGATCTTGCCTTTTACCTCCTCTAGCTTCTAGTCGTAGTCTCAAAATTTTAAACCGCATCCCCGCCGATGACTTCTTTAGTGCCCATTAATTCGTCGATATATGCTCGTTCTACTGGCGGTATTTTTCTTCCTCTCTTCTTTTTAGGAGGACGGGCTAGAATTTCGATTGGGGGGGTTAAGATCGAGTTTAAAGGCCGCTGGGCCTAGCCGTTTGGTGCGGGTGGATTACCTATTGCTGGG